CTACCAGCTGCTTTGTTGGTTTTGGTCAGAGCAGAGGGAGGGGGAAGAGACATCCGGTGTGGAGAGCCCAGCCCACCCGAGCCTCAAGGTGTAAGGTGAGGTAAGCAAGCAGGCGTGGCGGTGGCATGCATGGGCGCGAGGACGAAGCCTTTGCGGACAAGACTCAGCCCACGCCGCCGGAAACATGGTTGTTTGGCTGCGGATGCTAGTGGGATACATTGCTGCATCCCTTTTGCCGTCTGAAAATACCGATTAGTTCAGTAAGCTGTCGTCATCTGTGGCTAACCCAGCTCACACTGGTGATGACCAGCCGCAATCCCTCTTTTTCTTTCTTTCCTTCTTTTCTTTTCTTTTCTTCTCAGTTCACAATGAGGTTGATATCGAATACAAAGAAGACCGAGTAGATGCAGTGCGCATACCGCTCGGTCAGCCAGGTACGCACGCAGGACTCTGCCATGGCCCGAGAGCAATTTGAACGAGACGAGTCTTGCAGTAGGTAACTTGCGCGTCTGTAAAGCTCAACACCTGACCAATCAGGTCATGGGCCTGTCGAGGCGGCAAGGCATACTCAGCGGTCAAGACTGATGACTGGACGGCGAGCCATGACATTGGCTTGAGGCGCCGCCGGGTGCTAGGAATCAGCGCAGGTACATAGCTATCTACTGATATTTCGATGTCAGAAACCGCCTCGCCTTCGGCATCGGAGGCGCTGACTCAAATCGTTGAAATGGAAGCAGTTCCATACCCACAGTTTCACGACGACCGCGCCGGATCACATGGTGGGGGCTCTGTCCGGTGCCGTTGCTAGGTGATGCCATGATACAGTGTGTGGCTTTATACACTGGAATTAGCGGCTGAATACGAGATTGAGCCTGGAAGAAGCTGAACAGCCTATAAAAGCACCTCGGTGACAAGGTGGCTTCTTTGCTAATGCATTGGAGCATTTCGTCGACAGATAGTACGCCCCCAGGATCAGAAGGAAGCACCCTTGGATGACTCTGTGAATTCAATATCCATCCGGTCGACAAGATCGTCAGATATGAAACGTTGGACACTGAAGAGAAAATACGGCAAGGAGGAGATTATCAATACAACCTACTTATGCTATGATGTACCGACGGCAAGACCCAAGGCGATTGGGAAAGTGACCGGGAAGCTGAGGGAAGAAGGAAATCAGGGAATACGGAAGGCACTGGCCAGTATCGTGTGTATGCCTGCCTCATCCTGCACTGTCTTGCGGACCCAATGCGCATTGTTGATATACCGCATAACACTGAAGGGCGATAGGGCATCTCGTTGGCCGACATTAAGCAAAGGCCTAATTACCGTCGCGTTGTGTGCGCGGAGGAAAACCCTTCACGACAATGGTAGCATCCGTTCCGAATAGAGTGTTGTCCGTCCTCGGTTTCGCCGCTAGCCATAGACCCAGGATGGGCTCGCTCCCTGGTCCAGGCCAGGCCTTGATGTCGTTAACAACGACAGTTTGTCCGGTCTTTGGCAGCACTCAGGAATCATCAGGAACCTCACGGGTGCTTGGCCTCTAAGGGGTATCTGGCAAGTAGTTATCCAGCGTCATCCAGTGATGCTGGCATGCTCACCCCCAACGCAGGCACGTGGAAGGATGGCACATGCTCGTGTTCAGCAATCGACCGCTTCCGATGAATTCTAAAAGAGAATAAATAAAAAGAAGAAGAATAAAAATGGCAAGCTGTTCTGGGTATGGCCATGTGAGAATATCAAGGCTCCGCCGGTTCTTCCTCATCTCTGACTGTCAGTGATTTGGAACGGCAGCAACTTCTGGTCAGTATGACTAGTTATTCCATCTTTCCACAAAGCCAAACATCTCACGCCGGCGTCAAGCGGTGCCACGGCCTCCGTGGTGGATGTTTCGACGATCAATTACGTGGAAGGCGGGCCATTCGGGATGATGTTATGTATTGGGTTCCTTCCTTCGACATACAATGCATCTCGGCATTCTACTCCATACAGGCAAGGCAGCACGGGGTCGCTGGCCGTTCGGCGCCGATTACCATTGAGGGCGTTATTTTTGGAAGGCGATCGTCAAGAGGCATAGCAGAAGTGCTGCGGGCTACTTACCCGCTGTTTCAGATACCGGGATTGTGGGCGGATCGTTGCGGCCAAACGTCTTTATGGATTCGGTCGCGTGCTCAGGAGTAATGTGTGTAGCATACTGACCGCAGCCCAATCAGGTATCCTGAACAGCAAAACAAAGAGGAGATGGGTACCGTCGCCTGCAAAGCTGTCATGGACAGGATAAGGTGGCATGTTGTGAACGAAGAACTTTGAACTTGATGGCGAGATGCGCAGCTCCAACAGGCCTCATTCATCCCTGTATAGGTAGGTAGTGCGGCGCGAACCAGCTGCTTGGGGCGAATGAGCGCAACTCTGAGGCAGTCAAGGAAAAAGGGGCGGGCAAACGCCCTGGCCCGTTGGAAACCCAGTCCACTCCAGACTGCCTGTCTATCAGGGGCTGGCCTATGCGGGGATTTGTTTTAGTCGATTCCAGCTTGCAGAAGTGTGTTACAGAAACGCCAATCGACTGGGGTCGGTATCATATTGAGCACGTCAGCAAAGTTGTAAACGATACCCCGATTCCTCGACTTGCTTCATTAGAACTTCAGGAGAACGAGGCAGAGAGCGCCGACTTCCCCGCAATACCTGTAGCGGTTGGTTATGCTTGCAAACCTGCCATATACTGCAGTGTATCGCCGATTGCCTGCCGACCCAGTGGGCAAGCAGCAGACAGCCGTCATCCTTGGTTGACTGGCTGTCTACTCTTTGATGATGGCAAGGCTAATCAGCCAATGGTACACTCCCAATACGAACAAATCATATGTTTTCATCACGACTTGTATGGATTCTTCATGTTATGCTAAGTGGGCCGGCTGTTTACAAAGAAGCGAACATGGCGTTCGAGCTTCTGTCTTTGTCTCTATTCAGAACAGAAGCTTGACGGTCATTGGGCACGGCTGTAAACCACAGCATTTTAGAGGGTATAACCTCCCTGGAAGAATCGGTTTCCGATGAAGGTTTGAAGTGGTCTGGCTCCGAGCAAGACTCCAAGAGCCTCAGTGTCTCCCTCATAGTTATAACCGACAAGAGCCCGTGTATGACTAGGCCTCTCGCCATCGAGCAGTTCTCGGCAGCTCGTTGAGCGCCCACTCAGTCGCACCTAATATCCCCTCCTCTGATCGAATATCGGCGACTACAGAGATGTATCACAAGTCCCAACAACTGCTGCGCAACGGGAAATGGGCGATTACGATAAGCCACGTTCGGAAATCATCGCGATGAACTTTTAAATGACTTGAACCTTATCAACTCCGTGTTATTTTTCCATTGGCACTACCCAGTCTCCCCGACTTCAACGTCATTATGCACGCCCTTCTTATCTTGCTTTCACCTGCGGCGGTCGCAGTCGTGGTTTAGTTACCTTTTGCTCGCAGCGTCGCATCACTTCCCACACCTCCTCCAAAAGATTGAAAAAAAAAAAGAAAAGAAAAAAAAAGTCAAACAGAGGTCTTTATTCGTTGGCGCGTGGGGGGGGGGAGCCGTCGGCCTCAGCCGGACGGCAGAACAACGACGGCGCGCGCGCAGACTAGCGGCGGTTTTGTTTTTTCGCACTTTGCAGGGATGCTGCCAGCGGCGATCCCACAACCTTTTTCTCTCCCTCTCCCCCTCTATCTCCTCTCATTACCGGGTAGAGCGCTTGAGCATGGGATGACACGGGATGGATGGGGGGCTGTCGATGTTGGTCGGGGCTGCCGGACTGGTTCTTTTTGGGATAATTCTGTCATCGTCTCATTTACCTGAAGTATCTCCCCCGCTGCTATCCTCGTCTCTTTCTCCATTTTTTGGGGCGTTGAACGGGCGATGGAGACGGCGGCGACCGAGGCCGTACCGGTATATGAGAACCCAGGCAGGCGTATAACGTACATCTGAATCAGCGTCCTGCGTGCTTCTCGTAAAAAATACGAAGGACGACGACGACGGGTAGGGAGGGCAATGCCTCTCAACATGCTAGACAACGGCGGTATACTACAGACCGGAACAACAGTATCGTCAAATGACTGAGGGCCGCCTACCTCGCTCTAACGCAAGAAACCCTTTTCGACGATGCACCTAGCCTCACTCGCATCATTCATTGCCTACGAGTCACCCACCCCATGTCGGGTTGAGTTGCTGGACCTTCGCATCAGGTATCGATTCTCACCGGCCGGGCCAGCCGCCGCTTCCAAGCCTGCTGGGCGAGTTCGCTATCTCCCCCCTCCCAAGTCAGGTAGTCCAATCGAATGCAGATCATCCCACCTCATACGGTGCTGCCAGTCCCCCCATCCCCCAACACCCAACCACCATCACATACCATGCGATAGCCCAGGGCCCTCAAAGTGACGCCAGAGACACAACATCTTGCAGAATATACATAGCCCGGTACACATGGCGTTGGCCGATGTTACCACCCACCACAGAGGACCAAGCATGGACATGCTGGGAGGGTCGACGAGAAAGTTTGATATTGATACGGATACCACTACTAGAGGCGGGCATTCGTCTCATCTCATGATGGCTCTCTTACCTTAGCTCACCTCACCTTGCTAGTCAATTAGAATTCCGAACGCAACACACGCAAGCAGCGCTCTTGCACTATGACCCTATACTGTCTAGTTCATACATGCAGTGTTAGTGCTAGTACACATGTAGACGCAAAGACAAAGCCAGCCATGAAGTGCAACGAATGATGATGACTGGGAACCGCTGGTCAAAACCAACCATCACGGCCAGACACGAGACCAGAGGGAAACAATGGGCGACTGTTACTGGGTGCTAGAGACGGCCACTCGACCGGGGGTTAGACAAGCTAACACCCAAGCAAGAATTCACTTCCATGATGCATTGGGGTCACGTCGTGTTTGATCGGATCCTGACACTCCAAGGACTGGACCCCTTCAACGCCAACAGGCCGGACCCCCCCCACACCACCACCCCTCCTACTACGTACACTAAGTCTGGGCAAGGTCGCAGACTCCCACCCACCACCCGTGCCCGGGCCAACAACCCCCGTCAGTTGGTCCCTGTCGCTAGCATAGGCTGGTCTGGTTTGGGCTTGACAAGCCGTGGCGGCGGTGTCTTCAAACATGATTGGCGTGTGGCCATGGTGCCGCCTTATCGAGCCTGTCAGAGGCTGAGAAGCTTTCCAAGACCCCTACCGGTAGCGAAAGAGAAAGAGAGAGAAGGAGAGGCCTTCCACCAGGAAACTCGCGTATGTGGGATTTGCCATGCTTCTTGTAATAGCGCAGCAGTCACGGCATCCTTTCCTCCCCCACCGCTCATCCTAGCAGGCGTGACACTGTCGCTGTCGCTGTCGCTGTCACCGTCGCTGTCACTGTTCCGAGAGCACCTTTGCCTCGGGGAGGTGGGGGTTCGGTGTGATGTCTTGTCTGCCAGTCAGTCAATTTTCGCAGACGCGGGCGTATCGTGTTGCCTGTATGTGCATGTGTCTGTGTGCGACCCGATGCATCTTTCACACATGCGCTCTCAACCACTGGCATCAACAGAAAGTGTAGATAAAGATATAGTGCAGGGCAAGGATAGGATGGGGGGGGGATAGCCAACCAGTGTGGCAGCCGATCCGATGATGCGGATAATAGGGTTGATATGGGCAGACGCACACTCTGCATCTAGGTAGCTATCTAGTCGATACACAAAGCGTCAAGCCATCAACAAGAACTAGCGCACCTCGGCGGAACAAGAAACATGGCAGATACACACATGGAGGAGGACGCCCACTCGGCGGTGGGGGTTTCCAGAGTTACGGCGTCCTGAAAGGCTGGAACAAGACGAGGACGAGAAGCAGGGGGGGGGGGGGGGGGGGGGATATATGGCCATCTCCCTTACACCCCGGTTCGAGCTGAAGGAGAAAGGGACCTCTTGTCAAGCCCAAAGTAGAAGTGCAGGAGACTGACTACCTAAGCTGTGCCGTACCTAGCGGTGGAGGTACCTTCGTTTCGACGTTGGTTTGAAGGAGGTTCCCATTCGCGTACGCACACGACGACGACAATCTTTCTCACCATGTCCATCCCATCCATGCTCACTCACCACCCCCCCGGACCATCCAGTCTAGGCCTGCGGATCCAGTCTACACTACGAAGTATCCGTACGGAGTACACACACCTGCTTCCCTGCCTGCCATTCCTACTTAACCAAAAGTCCACCCACCCTTCAGAAAATTTCACCTTTATTTTTTGTCTGCAGATTTTTTATTTTTTGACCCCAGGCCCCAAGTCTTCTCTTGCCCTGCTTCATTTCCCATTTTTGTTACGGATCGTGCCCCCAACTTGCTGGACCAAGGGGTCAAAGAGAACAACCAACCACCCGGGCCCTCCTGTACTTCCCTATTTAATCCTTTCAGCCTCTGCTTCTCCAGCCACCCCGTTCGTTCCACACATCCTCGTCCCCTACCTCTGTTCGAAACTTGGGTACGGGATCCCCGACGACTGGGTGCGCGGGCTATTATTCATTCATCTCTTCGTCCGAGTGTGGGTGCAAGTCCAACGGCCGACGCAACCAACAGACCGTCCAAGACCAACAGACACAGACCAGACCAGACCAAACCTTGCCGGCGATAGCCACTTATAAGCCAACGGCATAACGCAACGGTCAACGCATTTCTCCCCCGGAGAATCCAGCCTCAACCATCCCCGCCACCCATCATCCTCAAAACCTAAAGGTCAAGGACGAGCAACGTGCGGTGACGTTTACGCGCCGTGCCCATCGTCAGAGCCCCCCCCCAGAGGATATATAGAACGAACCGACGGTCCATGTTTCGACCCCTCCTACCGTGACAGGGTCTCTCTCGCTCTTCTCACACATTATACACCATACACACCACATACACGCCAAAATCTCGACTTATACTCACGACGCCAGCATCCATCCGTCTTCTATCCAGACCTGTCGATGCCGAGCCCTCCTACGCCGCGCTTATCGTCTGTCGCCAGCTGCCGCCACTAAAAAGCCAGCCACCTCCAACCTTTTATGTTTAATTTTTATTCTTGTCTCCCATTTGCAGCTAATCAAGCTGCTTTTATTGCCCGTCCCCCCTGCCACAGGCGCTTCTCTCTCGGCAGCAAATAAGGCGCTTATAACTCGCGAAGCGAAGCGACCTTCCCCCAGCACCATAATACGCCTAACCCCATCGAATTGGACCGACCCGATTGAACCGGCAAGCCAATAAGATGGAGTCGCAGCACCACATGGGCATTCGCGAGCTCAATGTGAGTAACTGGCACTCACACAACGCCCTTACCGACACCCTCAACCATGCCGTTCCAGCTATCAAGACAAGTGCAGGTAAGAAGAGCCAGTCCACTTTTCTTCGTCTTTTTTATTGTCTTGCTTTGGAGCCTCTCCCCACGAGTATTCTCTCCTTTCTTTTCCTTTGGCCACTTGTTCTTCAACACCTCCCCTTGCTGCATCTTGGCATGTACCGACATTTGAGCCGCCACAAGCCGAAAGCCGTCATCGTGTAGCACCGTTCCAGCGCTTGGGCAAGCCGTTTAGAACCTTCTTCCGAGTGCTTCTGTGCGTGGATTCTGCGTCAAAAGCGCCGAAAGTTTCCACCGCTCTCCCGGCTCCGCCTGTCGGCTCTTCGGCGACTCGACCAATCTAGGAGTGAACCTGGACGTGATCACGCACACCTCATCTCGTCCGAAGTTTCGACAAGCTTTTCATCCTGTCTTGCCACTACACATAACCCAGGCCTCATCATCCTAGCGCGCCTCGATTTACTTCGACTTCTCACGTCCTTGATTTGACCTGCCTTCATCGACACAACTCTCTACCTGACCTCAACGTACCGTACTGACAGCTGCCTCAGCATTCTTCACTTTTCTGCGTGCCAACCTGGTTTTGAACCCCTCGGCAATGTCATCCCCAGTACTCCAGCCCACGGCTAGTGCTGCCCACAACAGCCACCGACCCGCCGCACCTTCTCCGCTGGCAACGTCTCACACACTTGAGCCTCTCGATGACATTCCTCCTCTGTCACTCGAGGTCCTTTCCACCCGCGAGGACAAGGCCGAAGCGCTGCGCCTCGTCGCCGACTCCGTTGCCCAGCAGCGCCAGCAGGCGTCCTCCGCTCTCGTCTTCCACCCCGTTCCACTGGCCGGCCTTGCGCTGGCCCTCGCCGTCGCCTATCAGTACTCTTACGGCCGGCAACGGGACATTGGCATGGCTCTCACCCTCCTCAGCGGTATCATCATGTCTTACCTTCTGGCCATCCGCTGGGTGACGAGCGGCTACCTGCCCCTCGCCGAACAGATATCTTGGTCCTTCATCCGGCCTCACCCGGACGCCTCTCCCGACGAGGAGGACCTCGTGCTCGGCACCCGCTTCGGCTCTGAGATCATAGGCGCCCTCGTCCTGCACCTCGAGCCCGCCATTCCTCTCGCCGCCACGACCTTCAGCAGCAAGCGTAGGAACAAGGCCGGCAGCTTCCGTGGCGGCAAGGGCATCATCCGTGCCTGGACGACCAAGCTCCGCTACCGAGGCAAGGGCGTCGGCACTGACATGCTCGACGAGGCCGTCCGCATCGCCCGTGAGCGCTGCGGCAAGGACGCCGAGGTCGGCTTCGCGCTCGAGCATGCCAACAGCCAAATGGTGCTGCCCGAGTTCTTCAACGGCACCTTCAGGAAGAGGGAGCGCTGGGCCGCCAAGACACTCGACGGCGTGCTGGCCGAGCGGGATATGGCCAAGAAGAAGAGGTGAAAAACCCACAACTCTCTCTCGCCTTGAGCTGTGTACTCGGACCTGGTTTGGAATGATACATATCTAGGGCTGATATTGCTTGCTGCGGGTTGTTTCTTTCTTTTTGTGGCGGAATGGCGGTGACGGATTGGACGGCGACGTCGGATGGAACGGTTATACCCCAGGATCCCGTGCAGGGCAGGCAGCCACTTCTCGCGGCATCTTTCTTCGTGTCTTTCGAACTTGATTTCTTCGACATTTTTTTCTTTTCAAACGATACCCCTCGTTACTGCGGCTGCCGGCGGTGTTAATTGATTTTGCCTCACATGAGAGCGGAAGGTGGAACGGGAAACATCTCCGTGTTTGATTTCGGAGATACAGGGATGGTCGAGAGATACCATTAGTACTACTAGATTTGCAAGGAACGTAGAACGAAGCTCGAGAGCTTCCTGTTCTTCTTCGCCTTGTCTGCCTAATTGGATCCCTTCGTTTGCCATGCTGGCCTCTCCGCCTACCTAGTTCGCTTCCGTGACGCTGACGACGTAGGTGTACCCTCCCTCTTCTCCCCAGAGCCGATGGATCTATGCCAGCCGGCCTGCTTGAAGATCAAAATCCGTAGAACTGGGGTTGGGGAGTGCTGTACGGGACGGTATGTGGTGCCGAGCTGGGGCCTCGGTGCTGTTTAGCCGACGAGGCAGATTCTGATTTTGATCCCCCTTCCTCGACGCGCTGGGTTTGTGAGGGAGATAGTAGTAACGGAGCTGGCTGTGAGTCAGGATCAGGCGGTTTTCACAAGACCGGGGCACCGGCCTATTCGTAAAAGGTCCTATCGGCTAGGTCGAGGTCCGGGACCGGAATCCCAAAGTCGGCGGCAGACCTGGCCCGTGGGCAAGGGTCGGCCGCCTGGATGCTTCGGCGGCGCCGTGTTCTTCTTGCGGAGAAAGAGAGGAATTGCGTTGTGTTCAGTGTTGGGCAAAAAGCCTGTTGCCCCACGCCGTTTCCGCCTGCGCAGGCTCCCGGAGGGACCCAGCCGCCCCCGGCTACGTATGTCTGCGAGAGTCGGGCAGATCAACGGAAAGCAGACGCTTCGTTTGCTCATTGACCTATCCCACGTCATCTCCTCTCCAACTAGCACGTGGGTTTTGCGTCCATTCCGGTGCTCAAACTATGTCTCTTCTGTTCATTTTTGCGTTCAATGGGCCGAACACTGTCACTCATACTGTGAAGAGATATCGTCCCGCTTATCCCAATCCCGATGTCCTTTGAAGCCCTGGTTACCAGAGTAGAGCCCCGTTGGCTTCCGCCCAAGCCCCCCTCTCGACGTCTAGCCTACACAGGCAAAAACATACATGCAGGACCTGTGCTTTCTCTGTCAGTGATGAGCAGCTCGGTAACTCTGTTACGAGTTTCATTTTCAAAGCCGGTAACATACAATCGTCGTTTCCGAGACAGTTAAGCCATCGAGGCGAAGATAAACCGTGGTTACAGCTTCCATCCATCCCCTTTTGATGTCCTTACGATCGAAGTTCAGGGTCATCTTCCCCAGACCAGAAATTAAAAATCGACACATGTCATTGTGTAGCCACCACTTTGCCCTCGTGTTATCGCTTGCGAGGCCCATAACTCCAAATACGCCATGAATCGAGGAAGAATCGAGGAACAAACAAACGCGGCGGGTTGTCAGAATTTCCGTTGGTATAGGCAAGGCGCTCACTCGCCGCTCGCCGCCGCTGCCTTGCGTGTCTTTTGTTCGACAAACGTATCTGGATCGAATCCATAGATCGGCGTTCCTTTACGTCGGAGTGCGTGAAGAACCTGGTAATGCGTTAGCAGCATGACTTGACGTACCCAAGGGTACTAGGATGCTGTTTGTCAACTCACGTCATGGATGGTGACAGTCTTGGCACCACGATGCTCAGTGTAGACCACGCAGTCTCTAAGAACCTGTAGATGATGTCAACTGTGGCCCATAATATACGTCTTGGTTCGCCAGGAATTTGGCGGTGAGACTTACACCTCTCAGCCAGGCGTCAAGTGCGGATCGTGCGTCGTCGTATATTGTGGCAGAGATACGTTTGACACCGCCACGACGAGCGAGACGACTAAGTGAGGTGACAGTTTAGCACTCTGTAGCGTTTGCGTTGAAGAAAAAGAACGATACAAGAGAGAGGGGTTGAATTAAAATGTAATGAGGCAACAATGGGGTGCGTGAGCGAAGAAGGCCGGAAGGCTAAGACCAGACAGATCCCGGTGAGGCAAGTAGGTAGGATTGGGTTCTTTCTCCTCTTCTTCATTATATAAGAAGACAGAGATAGACCCATTAACGAAGGAGTATGGGAAGCAGTAGTGAAGCCCATTAAGAGCTTGATAAACAAGGAGCTCCTTGAACATACCGGATAGCGGGTTTAGCTATAGTGAGGTCAGCGTGGTTCGGTTCATATATGTGTGTAAGCTCCAAGTGGATCAGAATTACTCACTGATACCCCGGATGCAATCCTTGACGATTTTGCTATTCTCCTAGTCAGTAGCAAAATCCCACTTGGGAGAAGCGAAAACCTGTGAGGAATAACTTACCGATGTCGCTTGGCACCCACTGCGCCGTGAAGTATCGTCTTTCCTTTGCCTCCAGCGGGCACTTTAGACGCAGTACCCCGTTTAATGCCGCTGGGGCCGCCGCGCGAAGGTATCATCGGCGGCATTGTGAATGATGGTCAGTTGATACCAAGGTTTTTGTAGGTTGCTATGTTGACGCAGAAACAGTCGTGTTGCACGTTGTTAGGCCTAGGCGCTGGTAGGGTATTGCGTGGTGGAGGTAGGTGTGGCTTTGGGGAGAGGGCAAGGAAGGAGGTGGGGAAATCAACGTTGGAAGGCGCGTGCAACACACACCTACCTACTCCGTACAGTGTACCCTGGATAGGTAGATATCCTTATCGAGCTTATCGGAGGCCCTTGGCCTGTGCTTGGTCACCTGTCCCGTGCAGAAACACCGTGGAAAGCGTGGTTGGTACAGGCACTCACTGTACTGTACGCCAATGTCGCGATTCCATTGGCAGGTGGTGTCGTCTCTGCCTGTCAGATGTCTTGTTTCAAACAGAACCTTGGGGCTGGGCTCAGGGTCTAGGAGATCCCCCGGATTCAGGCACAGTCACGCCGGAGGGGCGCCGTTGTATTTCTGTCGCAAAGAAGCGGTACGGTGAACAATTTAATCAGAACATGGAAAGTGTTTATTTGTTATTAGAACGGTTTTATAGAACAAGGATACGTGTAACCAAGGAACGAGTGACCATAGAGCCACCGTCTAAACGCCTAACCAGACCGGCAACATCTACCCAAGCAGTTGCCGTCGTCAATTCATTATTCAGGTCTATTCGGAGATGAAAGTGGCTTCACTGAAGCAAAGACCCTCCTCGGAGATCTCCTGGTCTCCAATCTTGAGCTTCAGGGTGAGCTTGTTCTTGGTCGGGCAGTACTGCAGCTGTTGTCAGCAGATTCTACACAACTTGGAATGGCGCAGAAGGTGGCTTACCTGGTAGATGTAGGGCTTGGTGCCGGCCGTGCCCGCTACAATCTTCTTGACGAAGCCAGGAACCTCGGCCAGGACGTCCACTCTGTCGAGGCGCTCTCCCAATGGGCCCTCGATGATGGCCTCCACGGCCTTGCCCTCCTTGTCCTTGCCGGACCACGTGAACTTGATCTCCTCGGGCTCCGGCCACTCGTTGACCGAGTCGTTCTTCGCCTTGGTATGCGTGGCCGTCTGGGTGACGCCGCCGTAGATCATCTCCCCGTCCTTCGCTATACCACCAACGCTGACGACTGTTGAGCCGTACGAGGGCGGGGTGGTGTACTCCATCATGACGGCCGAGTAGTTGGGGCCCTGGAAGTCAACAAAGTTCCACTTGGCCGCCGCGTGGTGAGGCTTCATCCCCTGCAGCGCGTAGACGTAGAACGCACGGCCGGTGAAGTCAACAGGGCCCTCCTTGGTAGTGATAGTGCCCTCGACGACGCATCGTGGCCAGAAGGCGTGGCGCATCGTGCCCCAAGGCTTCGACAGGTCGGTGCCGAACAGTGTCTTGCCCGTCTTTCCGGCGTGGAAGCCTGGCGAGGTGCGGGTGACCTTGAGGTTGACGATGGCGTTCTCCGAATTCATGCTCTTGATCGTGTAGTAGGAGCCGTCCTCAGACAGCTCGACGGCGCAGTCATCGGCGTAAAAGGACATGCGGTCCTCACTGACCTCGTGGTGGTTAAGCTGCGTGGTCTCCCAGAGGGTGGGCTTCGACTTCTCGGGATAGAAGATCTTGGCATTGAACTGGCATGTGGTGCGGATGCCGCTGTTACGGGGTAGGAAGGTCAGCCAAAACAGAAGACATCATGATTGCTGAGAGGCGGAAGCTATCCCGTACCCGACGTTACTGTAGATGACCTGGGCCAGTCCAAGGTGGCCGTTGTCAGCCATCAAGTAGAAGCTCTGGGTCTCAACCGAAGTTGAGTCGGCTGCGATCCACTTCAGGTCATCCTTGGTCGTCTCCGTATGTGTAGTCGTCTTGGCCTCCTCGGCGACGGACCTGATGGCGGTTGGACCGTAAATGGGCTCTTGGGTACCAGCCACATCGGCGAGCCTGAAATTATTGAAAGATTAGCCTTGAAAGACGTAAGAGAGGACGGCAGCAGATGCTTTACTTTTGTTGCGCCCACTTAAACATGTTGGCGGCAGGACACGGGAGAGGGAGAGAAATGGACAAAAAAGGAACGGAGTGGTTCAAGAAGCGGTTGTTCGGCTGTGAAAGAGCAACGAGTCTATACAGTTCACAAGGAAAACAAGCTTCTCGATGTGTTCTTAAGAGAAAAACCCAGTTGAGAGAGGAAGTTGAATTGACCGCCCAAAACAAGCGCCAGCGGAGGGGCGAGGGGCCGAGGGGTCATCCCAAGACCCAATGACGGTGAAGCTGTGGCTAATGCAATCACGGTGGGTCCAGCGTTCCCCGGGCACCCCGGTCGCTTGGGCCTCTGGTGCGTGGCTAGTGCATAAGGCTCCTAAATTTTTCCACATCCAAACACCCGTCGTTCGATTGAGGGAAGCTGTCAACCGCGGCGCATATACTTGCCTCACCACCCACACCCACATCCACACCCGATTCCCTTCTAACGACCAGAGCTGCTCGCACATACGCCATCATGTCGAAACGAGGCGCGGCTATGGCCGACCAGGTCGTGAAGCTCATCGTGGGCGCTGGCCAGGCGAGCCCGAGTCCCCCCGTCGGTCCTGCGCTGGGTAGCAAGGGTGTCAAGTCGATGGACTTTTGCAAGGTGAGTCTCCTCCTGGGGCACGATCAACACATGCCACCCTCTGCCCAACATCTGTGCTTTTTAAGGGGCACGATTATGCCATGGCCGATATCAATGCTAACATGTCTTTGCTCACTATAGGAATTCAATGCAAGAACAGCACATATCACCCCCGGCACGCCGATGCCGTGTCGAGTTACCGTCCGAGGTGACCGATCATTCCACTTCGAGATTCGTACGCCGCAAACATCGTGGCTTCTCCTCAACGCCGCCGAGGCACCCATAGTTAAGGGCAAGCGGAAGGGCGCAAGCAATCCCGGGAAAGAGACGGTCGGAACGATTAGCTTGAAGCACGTCTACGAGATTGCCAAGATCAAGCAGTCCGAAATGCGCCTGTCAGGCCTGAGCCTGGAGTCACTCTGCCGGTCTGTCATTTACCAGGCCAAGTCGATTGGCATCAATGTTGTGCCATGAGAAGGTGCCCGTCCTATGGGAGTCCATTTTCAACCATGTATAAACACGGAGTCAGGCGCAGAACGCATCCTCTTGTATACCATCTCCAACGAGAAAAGCGCGCCTTTTATGTACTATAACTGGGAGGTTAGAGGCGAGGGCAAAATAGCAGGAGGCATTGTACGATGAGAATCCTAATCGCCCAGCCCAAAGGCAGAGCACGGCACAAACGTTCGTACACTAGCGTCGCGTGGTCAGAACATAACAGACCAGAAGAGATGCATCATGCACCCCATAAGTCCCAGCTGGGCAGTGGCGTCGGACGTATGGTCTCATTTGGAGACGAAGTCCGTTCTCACCTTTGACGTTTGTGCGAGACAGTGGGTTGTCAGCCGCCGTCCGTGGGTGAAGTACGGGAACTGGCGGTCTGATCGATGCAAGTCAAAAGTCGTTGAACCGAACGTAGCCTTCTGTACGGGGTAGTCATCGCACATTACACAATGACGAACAACAAGCTGCAACGCCATATTTGGAGGATATCTCGAAAGGGTTTGTCCAGGCCTTGGTGTTACTGGGCCGAGAGAGGTTGGGCGAAAGGCGTCATCGTGCCGCGTTGAGCCAATGCGAGAAGTTGGATCAATGGTAAACACACACAGTCACACAAACACAAAGCGTTGCAAGCGGCCTGGGCCAGCGCATCAGTGGGGAAGGTCAGGCCTGGCACAAAAGAAGACGGGACTGACACATTAACACCACCTATACTATTACAAACAGCATAATATAAAATAAATAGATATACTTGTATAAATTAATTGAAATCAATACCAGGCTGTTTTACTCACTGGCAAGTACGTTTTCCCCTCTATCGTGATTACATCTTGTAGTCTAGTTACTATTAGTATTTAATTAAACACTTGTTAATAGTCTCGGGGTGGATGTGGTATGGAAAAAGTACTTAAGGCGTGCCAGGTTTTTCTTTCTGGGGGGGGGCTGGTCAAGTCTTTAGAAACCCTCGCCATCGAGATCTACAGGAGGTTGATGCGAGTAAGAAGCTTTGATAGTCAGCCGAAGCTCCGTGTGCTGCGAGATGCCAGACAGCAGCTCCTTGCCCTGCGTCGCAAGACTTGGTTTAGAGCCTTTGTGGTGCAGTGGCGTTGGGGTCCCGTTCTTCAACACATCAGCTTCCCCGCTGGGTGCGACAAGCTTGGAGTCCAGATGCGGGTGCACTGCCAGGCCATAGCAATCCCGACGGATGGCTTGTCCACCTTTTTGCCCTTGAACAGCGGCCTTCTTTTGCATCGTGCCTGAGTAAAAGGTTCCATCGAAGCAGCCTGTCATATGCAGCAAACGCCCCCCAGCCTCATTAGAGTGGAAACGATGCGATGCCGGTGAGGTGACGGAACGTCGACCGTTTTCATGCTGCAGCTGCAGCATACCAGCATCCACACCACTGGGCTTGTCGGTCTAAGAGCGGAAATCCGGCGGTACTACGGAATGGCAAGTGAGGTATGTCCCGGCATGTGCTCTGAATGAGTGCTGTCTCGGCCCAAGGAACATTTGAGAAGAGGAGCAAAGCTCAGACTTCTGATGCTAGTCATGTCGCCAGAACACCCTCCTGATTGCCGAACCTGACGGAAAGCTGGTCTTTTTAAGCTTGTGTAAGCCGACAGATGGTAGGATGTCAGGCGTGCGTTCTCATAGGTAATGGTTCCGTTTGTTGTGGAGGGTGAAGACGGGTTGGGATTGGATTGTATTTGTTTCCTGGCGGGCTTGACTCGTTCGTCCCGATCTAGGTAGTGCATTGTGGAATTAACCGGCGGGCATTGGGTGTTTGCTGACGTGTCGGACGGGATGTGCCCTGGATACTGTCGGGAGTTGGGATTCGGGAGGCGAGGAACTGAAGGGGGGAAAAAAAGATTTTCTAAATAGGGAAGAGTCATCTGCCTTGTGGAGATCGGGCTGCGTCCGAAGCAGGCCGGGCCATTAAGATCCATGGAGTTTGTTTCTTGGAGGTTGGTTTCCCTGCGAGCCTGTGGGATTCGTAAAAACGATGAAAAAGTGACTAAATGAAGTGGTTGAATGGCGCTTCATTGCCGTCGCATGTGGCGGATGCGAAAGCCGAGAGCCATAAACCCAACCCCTGAACCATAACTACACTGGGCATTTCGTAGAGCAGACGGCCGACGACGGCATGGACGAGTCTAGAGCCGGGGTTGGACAAAATAGAAGATTCCGATCATCACAGGGACAGGCAGGGCCAGGAGTGGCCGGCAGGGGGCCTTTCTACCAGGTTCCTGATGCAGATATGCTCAATGCATCCATGATTTTGGGCGTGCTGCCAAGTATCGTTTCCCATTCCCAGGCGTGCCAGGTCCTCTCCCAAGCCTCAAAGATCTCCTGCCCACCTCAGTTAGAGGCAGTGTAGCCCCCACCTCTTGGGTCCCCTCTCAGCGACCCAGATGTTCCAGTGCGATGTCACGGTGCCTTATCCGGTCTGCCGCTTCCCCGATGAGGCATGGGCAACTATGGCGTCGACCAGTCATATTGCACCCTTTCCCTACCAAACCATCCCGCTCATGTATGATGTATCCTTCTCTTTCCGGCGTGAAATCCCGCGGCGCGAGTTACGGGCAGCAAGAAGAGCGCCCGCGAACAGCCTCCTCGTCCGCCTCGCCCATTTACGATTCTTCTCCTTCTTCTCCTTCTTCTTCTTCTTCTTCATTTTATTCTACCCCTAGTGCGCAGAAGGATCCTGAGAGGCCGACCGGGCCAGCGGGAATGGTAGAGACAAGAGAAATATGAGCAAGAAGCGGTGCGGTGGTAGAAGTGATCCTGTTCGCAAGGGCCTTGGCCTTACCTCATGTTTTGAGACGCTTACCCATGCGGTGCATTTTAGCTGTTGTAAGAGTGTAGTGTACCCAGTGCTTTTGCCCCACCATCCGCAATTGGTGGCATCCACTGTCTGTCCTGGGTAACAGTACTTTTCTCCCTCTCTCTCTCCCACAAGCCCGACTTTCTGTCGTTTGGTTTGAATTTCTTTCCTCCTGTTACTCTTTCCCTGCCGTTATCACCATTTCTTGACGATAGACGACCAAACACCCACAAGCAGCTGACCAGCGTCATTCCGTTGGGGCCATGGCTCCCCCGTCTCCCTCCCGCGATCCTCTTAAGGAGGAATCACGAGTCCCAGGTACAAAACGCCCTACTTTCCGTCTGTTCCGGCGCAACCCCGCCCTCGGTTCGTCTGTTGCGCATGTCACAGACAAACACTATCGCCCAATGTTCCGCGTCCACGCTCACGCCCCCCCCCCCCCTCCGAGCCCACACCCACATCCTCATCCTCTTCGCCAACGCAGATCTCGTGCTGACCGCTGCTCTTGTCGCAATGCACAGAAATCTCTTGCAACGCCTCTGATAACACCAATGTCAACCGAGACAAGATGCCCCCTCAAGATGCGCCCGCCGTCCGCTTTGCTTCTTCCGTCCAAGAGATCGCCCCAACCGTCACCACGACATCACCGACAGATACCCAGTCTCCCACCGACGCCGCTACCGGAGCGTCCTTGGCCGAAGTTACGCCTGACGAGCTGAGAGCCCTATCCAAATCCCTCCAAGGTGCACCGTTGCAGCAGCGCCGGATGAATGTCTTCGGCTTCGAACCATACTCGCTACCTGCATCTCGCGTATGTTTTCCGTCTCGTCTCTTTGTGCTTGGCCTCGGCAGCCTCGACGCTGTTTGCTTTCTGCTTAAGCGTTTTCTATGCGTCGCGTTTCACACTCTCTGCCTACCCCCCCAGACTGAGCAACACCGCTTCAGTGTTTAGACCCCTCTCCCAGTCCCCCTTCCAAACACCTCGTCTACACCACGATTATTCGGGCTTCCTCTCTATGGGGGCTTCTACCCGGGGGCTCCATTGATCAGTCTCGTGATCGTCCCAGGTACCCTACACACCTGTGATGACAACTCAACTTCTTCATTCCATCGCGCGCGCCAGCCTGCACAACCCGCTCCGTTACTGACGTGTCACTTGCAGGTTTGCTCGCGAGAGGACGAGTCCGATAACAACAGCAGATTACCAACCCCGAACTCCAGCGGGCCAAGATCGCCGCGTTTTGGTCCGTCACATCCAATGCAGTCACCTCCTTTGACACCGGCGGGGACTGATCCTTCAGATCCGGCAGCAAAGAAGAACGAGGATCAGGATGGGGACAGGAAAGCTTCCTCAAGCGAGCCCTCCGTCATCACTCCTCAAGCATCGTCCTCCCGTGATTCACCACCATCGTCGGCAAGAAAGTCCATGCCTATCCGAGGCAAATCGAGCGAGGAAGTCGCTACACGGTCAGCGTCTGCCGAGGAACGAGAATATGACACGAGGTCCCACAGGAAGGGCATGTTTTCTATCGGCGCAGGAGGATCCGTTCCTGTCTCGCGAGAGTCCAGCCCGTCTCGAGCTTCTCTGTATTACTCCAAGCCGATGACGCCCGGTGGGGACGCCAACGATCCTTACGCCGCCCACAAACGCCAACCGCCGCCGTCGAATCCGCAGCGGGGCCAGATTGACTCGAGATTTGTATTCTCGCGTAGGAAGAACAAGCATGGGTCGCCGTCTGGTTCTACGTCGAGCTTGGGCCGAGCAAGCGACAAACGACACTCGGGCCTTCTGGGTGGCCTGAAGGGCCATGGCGATGAACTGCAGGTGCCTCACGACGATTCAGCTAGTATCTCAAGCAGGCAAAGCTCATTTGCGGACCTCAAGCGGTTCTTCAAAGTCGGTGGGCATAACAAGATGAAGAGGGAAGCTTCGCCCTCCTCTGTGAGGTCTGGTGCTAGAACCCCTCCTACGAGAGGGTCGCAACACCAGCTTCCCTTTGGGGATGACCATGGTCTTTCTTCCAAGTATGGAAAGCTCGGCAGGGTGCTCGGGTCAGGTGCTGGAGGCTCTGTTAGGCTGATGAAGCGAAGTGACGATGGCGTTGTCTTCGCTGTCAAGGAGTTCCGGCCGAGACATTCATACGAAACCGAAAAGGAATATGTCAAGAAATTGACGGCCGAATTCTGCGTTGGATCGACTCTGCACCATGGCAACGTCATCGAGACGTTGGACATCCTCCAGGAGAAGGGCAAGTGGTACGAGGTCATGGAATACGCTCCGTATGACCTTTTTGCCTGTGTCATGACGGGCAAAATGACGCGTGAAGAAGTCGGTTGCTGTTTCTTGCAAATCCTCAACGGCGTGACATATCTCCACAGCATGGGCCTTGCGCATAGGGACTTGAAACTCGACAATGTCGTGGTTAGTGAGCACGGTATCATGAAGATTATCGACTTTGGTAGCGCTCATGTCTTCAAATACCCCTTTGAGAACGACATTGTGCTCGCCTCGGGTGAGTATCTCTTGCACTTAGTTTGAGAGACAAGACTGATGAGTTGTAGGTATCGTGGGATCCGATCCATACCTGGCACCCGAGGTTTATGACGAGCGAAAGTACGACCCCCAGGCGGTCGACATCTGGTCGCTTGCCATCATCTTTTGCTGTATGACCTTGCGAAGATTCCCCTGGAAGGTCCCTCGCATGACCGACAACTCATTCAAGCTCTTCGCGGCGGAGCCGACACCGGGTCACGACCCCAAGAAGCTCATCACGCTTTCTAAGTCGACCAACGATCTCGAAAACACTCCGCATCGAGATTACTTCGAGGAAGGCAAGCATCAAGCTCGTAAGCAGGAGCACAAGGAAGCTGAAGGTCGGGCATCGCAAGGAAGCTCAGCACAAGCATCAACTCGTGCCGATGGGCAGCAAACGGAAAAGAAAGAGGTCATACGGGGCCCTTGGCGAATTTTGCGCCTGCTTCCTCGCGAATCTCGGCACATCATCGGACGCATGCTTGAGATCAAGGTTAAGGAGCGCGCAACGATGCAGGAAATATTGGATGAGCCATGGGTTGCGAATACGGTCATCTGTCAGCAGCCAGAGCCTGGTCGTGTGATCCGCGCCGAGGACCACGTCCACACCCTTGAGCCACCTCAACCACCCAAGTAGGTCTTTGATGGCTACGTGGGATAAGAACTTTAGATTGCATGTTAAATGGCGTTCCGGTTGTCAAGGGACTAGGGGTGGGAATAGCTGGGACGGAAGGGGGATGCGGCGGATTATCATGATACGAGCGTCTGGCACTGAGAAAAACAGCGACGCCGCTCCCTTTTTTTCTTTTTTTTTCTTTTTCTTTTGAGCGATACAGGAGTCTCCTTCGAGATATGTAGATGCCACACTGTCGGCTCAAAATAGGTTGTATCAGGCGATTGAAGACTAGGTAGAAAGGTAGATAATGTCATTCGGTACAAATCGCACGCCCTGCGTCACCTTAACTCGAAATTGACTAGGACAGACGCAACGAGAACCGAGGAAGAATAAAGTACGAGAATATGCTCACGCCTCTTGTTCGTCAAGCGAATGCCGTGTTATGGGATCAGTATTCGACATCGACCGGACGGGTGAAGCAATGGCTGCATGAAGCGTACCCAGTCCACAGTGCTTTCGGCCATCACATTGCATATATGCACGGTGGTCTACGTGGGGCATCGGGAAATCTTTTGACCGATCGGCCCAAAAAATTGTTGACATTCTGGAAGCTCTTGGAATAGCTTCAAGGCTTAAAGCTCGCTCCTCGAATTGACTTCTTTCTCGACTGTCTGTCATCCGCCAGTTTCTCTCCACAGCCAATTCTTGCGCATCCATCCCCATTCAACTCTACAGTCACAATGGTAGGATCATGTCCTCAAGGTCCCCCTTGGGCCAGCTGCCAGCATCCTTCCCTGACCGGCCGCAGTACTTGTACTCGGGACCTCGGTAATCGCGGAGTGATGCTACGTTGGCCATTAACATCTTAGCCACTGCGATATATTCTGGTCACTAACTCGAAGTGTGTTTGCAGGCCACCTCCGTCCGCTCTATCCGCGCCCTCGTGCCCCTTCTGGACCGCGTTCTTGTTCAGCGTGTCAAGGCCGAGACCAAGACCGCCAGCGGCATCTTCCTTCCCGAGTCCAGCGTCAAAGAGCTCAACGAGGCTAAGGTTCTCGCCGTCGGCCCCGGTGCTCTTGACCGCGACGGCAAGCGGTTACCCATGGGCGTCAACTCTGGCGACCGCGTCCTGATCCCCCAGGTATGTCGAGATGGATGAATACATCTCCTCCTCCCCCCCCTCCCCCCGCCTTTGTAGTTACAAAATGCACCTGCGACCTCGGGACTATGCAGGTCGCCTAGAACGACGCATTACTTGTCAATCCTTTTCACGCATCTTGCTAGGGAGAATTGCCAAGTTGATGGGAGGGACGACGAGGAGATGGGGCGAAGACGAGTGAGACATTGAGACTTTGACGGCTGACGAGATAAATGCAGTTCGGCGGCTCTCCCGTCAAGGTTGGTGATGAGGAGTACCACCTCTTCCGCGACAGCGAGTAAGTTTGAACCCCCCCCCCCCCCCCCCCCCCCCAATATACAATTGTGGCGCAAAGCTGCGGCTTCCCATGCCCTTAGGAGATCAGATGAGCTGATTTATGTGCTTTCCCACAACAGGATCCTCGCCAAGATCAATGAGTCGGCATAAGTCCAAGGCCGCTAGGGCCGTAATAGATACCCACGAGATTTTGGCGTGTACAATACCGTGTATCAAAAGAAATTACAAAACATAAAAGCGAAAGGGACAACAAGGCCAGCCGTTGTTTCGATTGGATAACGTGAAAACTGTCTCTGGAGGAATTGGAAGAGGGCAGCTTTTGCATAGACCATGTTGTAATCTTTAAGCGTGTATTCTCAGAGTTACGATGACGCCGGGAGACGAGGGTAGTGGGCATGGCCTCGAGGGAGAAGGGAGGTTACTCCATTAGTCTTCGCTGTCGCTTATGGCCACGCCATGTCTCAATTCGCCGGGGTTTTTGATTCACGAAGAAACCTCTCCTCTCTGTCACTTTGCAAGCACCCCATTAGACAACGTGTCATCTCGGCGTGAGGCTACTTTGAATGATGTGCTGGGCGTTCTGCATATTTGCAGCATTGGGCCGATGAATGATGTGGGGCGAAAATGTCGGGAACCCATGTGCTCTCGTTGATAGTTTCAAGCTAGAGTTTGGGAGAATGTTGACACCCGTATGATGGCCATGGACGCTGCTTCTATCCAGACATGCTAGATGACACCCTTGGCGAGGGCGTGCAAGCCCGTCGTCCTCTGCACACCCGCCCGACAACTGACCCAGGAAGGGAGACAAGAAGAGGGTCAACTGCGGGTGTCCCTTTCGAGGGTGGAGACGCCAGTGCCTCGATATAACTGTGGGCTTTGCGAGATGCGAGCTTGTAGACATAAAGAGGATCAGATACTTACAGCTACTCGGTGTGCGCGTGCGTGCGTTTGTGTGTTTGTGTGTGTGTTTGTGTGTGTCTGCCCGTTTCCACAGTCTCCGTCGGGCCCGAGACGGAGAGACAGCCAAACAGACGCAAGACAACCTCGCCAGAGACGGGGTTGCTCCGATGGACTCAGATGTCTGGTGGCCACAACATGATGTACGTCAGCTACTCACTATACTAACGGCCTGTCCCTTTTCGCCAAGGCAGACTTGCTGTGCTTCTACGAAGCGCACCACAGCGTTTCTCTCCCTTGCAGGTGCACGCACATAGCCATTGTTGTGTTATGTCTGAGCGGGCTGGGCCCTCCCCGGGACCCGCGACTATGGGTAGACAGGACCACGGACGTCGGCGGCCAGGCAATCAATCAGAGTGCATGTAAAAAGAGGTTCGGCCAGTGGCCGAGCAACTCCTGTTGTTTCACTACCCGTTTTTTTTTTTGTTCTTTTTTCCCTTTGGCATGTTCCTCCTCGCACGTGGGTTCTTGCTGGAATGAGGGCCTAGGTGGAATGATGTCGAAGGTGAGTGGCGGTCGGTCCCTGGAACAATGGGATTGTGAATGGATACACGGAATGGGGGCCCGGATATTGGAAGCTAGGTACGAAGTAGTCGGCCATGTTGGAGCCTGAGGTCCTTGTCCGTGCCCTCGCCCAATACCAAGGCAGCACTGGGGGATAAACAAAACAGTTACGGGGGGTATATAGCCAATTTCAGGAAATCAGGGAAGAAGCAACAGCAGGAGATTGTGTATTGTCCACAGAGATGACAAGAACTCCGGGTCAGAGGGGATGGATAGCGGACGGATCCCAAGAGGACGGGGAGCCCAGCCGCTGAACAGGACCCCTGACGAGATGCCTCTCAACCCCCTTTTTCTCTTAACCTAGTGAATAGAGAGGCCAGGGGATACGATCCATGAGGGAATTGGAGGGAATTGATGACATGATTGTGGAGAATGCGGCTGGGCTGCGAGATTTTCGGGATCTTGTTACGATCAACGGGAGCGAATCGATTGGTGACTCTCTCTTCCCGTTCTGATTCAGGGGAGGGGGCGGCGGCTCATCTGTAACAGAAGAGCGGAGTTGCGAAAGCTTGTTGGTGTCACTGCATGCAGTAAGATGTGTACGGAGTGTTTGTTTGTAGGGTCTGGAGGCGGCGGCTGCTGGCGACACGGCGGCTGCGTATGCGCCATGTGAGTGTTTCCCAGCTGCCAATCGGAGCAAAGAGGCGTCTGTCTGTATGTTGATCCCGTGAACCCCCCCCCCCTTCCTCCCCCTTCCTCCCCCCTTCTCTGAAGAGACAAAGATGGAGGAGTCCTTGTCTCTGGCTCTGACAGCGCGGCGGCACGGCATATTTGGGACGACCCAGTCAGTGTGTTTGCCGCGCGTGACTCCTGGTCGCCAGCTAGGCCGCTGGAGAAACAGAAGCAGAGGAAATGGGTGAATGAAAGAAAGAAAGAAAGAAAAGAGAAAGATTGTTGCAACGAGGTAGAGAAACAGGGAAGGGATGTAGACGGGAAGGAAGAGATGGGAACTTTGTTTGCGAGGGAGGATCAGGAAGGAGCCCATCTGATCGTGGATCTGGTTTCTGGTTCCAGTCCTGGTCCTGGTCCTGGTCCGGGTGTCTGAAACTCCCTTTTGCCCCTCCTTGACCTGGTCTTTGCTTTTGTAGCTTGCGCAACTTTGCAGTCAGGCTTAAGGACGTTATGAGTGCTTAAGTGTGCTTAAGTGTTCGTTTCTAATTGTTTCAAAGCCGTTGGTTTAAGAAAAGGATGTGCAAACTATACTGTGTTTGTGCGTGTTTGGGGCCAATTAAGGTACGGATGGATGCCGTAAGCATGCGGCGGATATGCCTGGCGGGAGCCCAGCCGTCAGCCCAGAAGCGGGAGTTAATTGAATGTCTTGTTTCAATACTGGAATGGTTCGTCCCGTCATCTTCCCACCTCGATGCAATGACATGTGCTTTCTTATTCTTCGCTACCCCTGTACTCCGTACTAAATAAAGTGAACCGTCGCGACTTCAGACCAACGAAGACTAGACTAGACTAGACCAGACCAGATGTCGATAGCTTGCCTATCCAGGAGACAAGTTTCTCCTGCCGACACTATTATCAACAGACCAAACGCCTCATCTCGGCACAACGACGCCAAGTGAAACCCCAAAGCTGGGGAGGTTGGAAGCTGGCATGGCTAGCGGCGCCTCTGGTTCCAAACCCCTGGCTCCTCCCGTTGCCTCTATCGATTTGATTTGACTCGTCTCATTCCACGAGCCTGGGCCATGCCGGCGCTGGCATCAACTAGGCCAGCTCTACTCAGTAGTACCCAGGGAGATCGGCAAATCTTAAACCCTGATTCAATTCTGGTTTGACATGTTCCCTTGCCTGCTCAGACAAACACACAGAGAGCATCATCGTCATCATCGTCATCATCATCCACATCATCCACATCATCCTCTCGGGACGAAAAGAAAAGGATGAAAAAAAAAAATCGAATTCCTAGCGCGGCATGGCCAAGACGACTCCATCTGCAGCTGCCGCCGCTTCGCTTCCTGGGAAAGGAAGTTTCCCATACAAGAGCGCAGACCGTTGTGCGGGTTGCCAAGTACCGGTATACGTATGGAGGCGCTCGCCTGGCCCCCACGTGTACAGCTCCTCTGACCCCTAGGTCGGAGGAGACTTCCTCTTCTCCATCTGGAATACGTAGTGATAGCAACAGTGCGCGTCTACACTACCTAGGTAGTCCGCTATCTCGGCTCCTGGTCGATCCGTTGCTTCTCTGGTTTGCCCTCTGCCTTGGAATGCCACCCACTAATTCCCCGGCGGGACGGGCGACTCGGTGCCACGCCACGTTTTCTAGGGGTAACGGGCAAGGGTAAGGGTGGGTTGGGACGCCATCCGTAGCGCCGCCCACTTTCGTTTCATGTTGCCCGCCCCGTTTGTTTACCCACTAGCGCACGCCACGAGGCCCTGCAATAAGAACATATTTCGGCGTTTGCCAATGCTGGCCGTCTTGGCAAAAGGCACACAAGCGGCAGCATCCTTCCAGTCGGCCAGGCTTCCTCCACCTCTCTTACGAGCGAGCGCTTTGCTCTTCTCATTGCATATCCCCTGTATCCCGGCCGTACCATGGCCTGAAATCCTTGGGCCGGTTCCTCGGTTAGGCATAGCTGCGGATGGCGACATCTATCACTCTCGCCCCCTTGCCTCTTGGAACGTCGCCCAGCGGCGACAATTTTCCTTGTCCAAAGCTTGCCTCTTCGGCAGAGGACCGCGCTAGCGCCGCTCCATGTAGCACCCTCCTGCAAGGCGGGAACCGGTGCGGAAGCCCAACGCACCATCAGGGGGAGAAGAGAAGAGGGGAGGGGAGGGAGATAGGGTAGGGTGAGGACCCGGACAGCTGCAAGGTACCAGAGGCGCCAGAGATGAAATGGATAAGGGCTGACCTGCAGGAGCGGAGCTGTACGGATACATCCAATCCAGTGTAAGGAGGGAAGGGGGCGGGCGGGCGGTTGTGCCTTTGGCGCACAGCGAGTTGGGGGTGAGAGTGCCACTATTCGCTGCGCAAACCCCAGCTAGTCTTATTTTTCCTTCCAGCAGGATGACGGAGCCTCGGAGGGGGCCAAGGGCCACGGACAAGGGGGCAGAGGGAAACGACCTCCCTGCTTGGGTCATGAAGGGCCGCGGTCTTGAACGGTTGGTTGGTTGATATAAATCCATCTCTGGCCCTCGATAACGGGCCTCCCTGTTTTGTTTCTCAACCCCATCGCGTTCTGTACACAGCTGGTCGCTGATCCACACTCCCTTATTGTTCGCTTTCTTTTTGAACGAACCTTCCATTCCTTATACCCAGTTGAGCCTCGATATCTTTTTGAGTCGTTGCTCCCTTCAGTCTCTCGTCCAGCACGAAGTTACTGTTGACCAGTCCGTTCCTTGACACAGGCAAAGCCCAGAGCTTACACCTCGAAACCAACTACATTTCAGTCCTTCTAGACCGGTCGACTTCGCCCTTTTTCGAAACTCTTATCGATTTCCATTGATCTCGACTTCAGCAGGCCTGCTTTCAGTCGCATACAGAAACGCCTCCGTTCCACGCAACCAGAGAGCAAAACACTCACCAGGATACCCAACTCTCAAACAAACCATCAAGATGAAGTTCTTCACTGCTGCCCTCGCCTTGGCTTCCGCCGCCAACGCCCATACCCTTTTCTCGGAGCTCTACATCAACGGCAAGTCCCAGGGCGATGCTACCTGCATCCGTATGCCCAAGGATGGCGCCACCTCCACCTCCCCCGTCGCCGGGCTGACTAGCCAGGACATGGCTTGCGGTAAGTCACCCATCCTCATGGCGTCATAACGTCCGGACTTAACCCCCTTATACTCATCCTTCTCTCACAGGCAAGGACGGCCAGATCGCCGCCGCCTACACTTGCGCCGCCCCCGGCAGCGCCCAGCTGACCTTCGAGTTCCGCCAGTGGCCCGACAAGCGCCAAGAGGGATCTATTGACCCCTCTCACAAGGGCCCTTGCGCCGTCTACGTCAAGAAGGTTGACGACATGACCTCTCCCGCCGCCGGCCCCGGCTGGTTCAAGATCTGGGATGAGGGCTATGACGAATCCACTCAGAAGTGGTGCGTCGACAAACTCATCGACAACAAGGGTCTTCTCACCGTCGAGCTCCCCTCCGGCCTCCCTGCTGGCTACTACCTTGTCCGCACTGAGGTCCTCGCCCTCCACCAGGCCGTCAGCCTGAAGGACCCCCAGTACTACGTCGGCTGCGCCCAGATCTACATCCAGAACGGCCCTTCGGGAGCCCTCGAGATTCCCTCCGAGTACGCCGTTAGCATCCCCGGCTACATCGATGGCTCTGAACCCGGCAACAACTTCAACCTCTACGATAACCCCAAGTTCCCCTACCCCATTCCCGGCCCCCAGTCCTTCAGCCCCACCGGCACTTCCTTGAGCGTCAAGGCCGTCTCGTTCGAGGATGGTGTCCCAGGCGACTGCCTGATCAAGAACGCCAACTGGTGCGGTAAGGCCGTCGCGGCCTACAGCTCCGAGACGGGCTGCTGGGCCGGCGTTGACGCCTGCTACGCTCAGGGTGATGAATGCTTCAACTCGGCCCCGCCGACCGGCGCCAGCAACTGCTACATCTGGAACGACAAGATGTGCAAGGGCCTCGAGGCTCAGTGCCGGGCCAAGAACTTCAACGGTCCCCCCGAGATCGAGATGGAGGCGACCACCTCCTCCCCGCCTGGCCCCATCCCCGCCGCCGTGAACCTCAACCTGCTCGGCGGCTCTTCCAACTCTAACACCGGCTCCGCCGCCGCTTCCCCTGCCGCCGCTTCCCCTGCCGCCACTTCCCCTATCGCCGCTTCTGCTCCCTCCAAGGCCGCCGTGGCTTCTGCTGCCGCCTCCTCCGCCGCTGCCGCCACCCCCGTGGCCGAGTACGCCCCCGAAGAGCCCGCTGCTACCAGCAAACCCGCTCCCACCTTCGCTGCCGTCTCCTCTGCGGCCCCGGTCCCGGCTACTTCCACCGCTGCCGCCCCTGCCGCCCCCACCGCCTCTAACGGCCTCAAGATCTCCACTGACGGCACCTGCGGTGGCGAGACCGGTCTCACCTGCGAGGGCAGCAAGTTCGGCGCCTGCTGCTCCTCCAGCGGCAAGTGCGGCAGCAAGATCCTTCAGTGCAGACCCTCGTGCGGCTGCCAGAGCAAGTTCGGTCTCTGCCTCGAGCCGGCCAGCCTCCGCAAGAGCACACACTAAGAGAGAGGCCGCGCCGCTCTTTTCATCACATCACGACAACAAGAGAAAAGACCGTGATTATGACGATTATGAAAAAGGAAACAAAATCACAACCGAGGGTCTTTTCCATCGCCGGATACCTTCTCTTCGCTTTGAGATTTCTGTTTTTGCAATTGTTTGCAGCCCATAGTTCTTATGGGTTCTACTAGGGGAAGGGAATGCCGAGACTGGTGAACATATCACGGCTAGGGGTTTTAGGAGAGCGGTTTATAAGTGACGGTGTGGGGGAAAAAAGGCACCGGGACAAGAAGTCATGGTCATGTTTGGGGGGTCTTTTCGCTGGGTTTGCTTTTCTCCTGTAACATTCTTGTATATAGTCTGTACAATTCTTTCCAACATTGGATTTTGAAGCTGCGTCTTTGCTTGCCATCACCGTTATTTGTCTTGTGTTTGCTTGGTACCAGGCTCTCCACCTTATGAAGCGGACACCTTTGCCATTGAATTCTCAGGATGAAATGCAGTATAGAAGAAATCAGATGCCTGAGATTGAGAGACGTGTTCCTGAGGCCCTTTCGCTTCTTACATGCGAATCTACATCCCATCAGCTTGACTTTGAATCACATATCATGTGGACCATTCATGTCTTCCCGTTTTTTTTTTTTTGAAAGGATGAACAAGAAATGTCCCTTATGCCAGGCCAAGAGATGCAGAGCAAACATAACGCCATCGATACGGGCGCTGTAAGACTGTATTGCATCAAGGCCCTCCAAGGCAAATTGAACAAAGTGGGCGTGAGTTTGGTTCCATTGCCGGCTAGTAGCTCGACCGTAATCGAACCTCTCGAATTACCTGCTTCTTAGACGGTTCTTGATCTGCTGACTTGTCCTTTGTGACGGCCGCTCGATAGAAGCCGTTGGAGAACGTAAGCCTCCCGTCAATTTCTAGTATCAACCAACAAGAGGATGACCGTGGCTTTCACCTAGCCGAGGCCCGTTTCACCATTCAAACCCGCCTGAATCCAACTTGATTTATTTCTATTCTATGAGTATGACTGGGCACAAATCCTAGGTCGGTTTCAAGTGCTTTTGAGAGATTGCAGAGCTCAGACGTATGTTCTTCCATGTGGGATGTGGTGCCGAGACACTGAATACCGATATACTGCCTGCAGATTAGGATATGGCATCCAGAGCTTCCAGTGTATTTGGTAGGACCAGCATCGAAAAACAGACCATGGCTCAAGGTTGGGTATCCAAGCCCGCTTAAATTTCGATGTGGAATATTCTTCACTTTCAGCCTTCGAACCAAACCGTGTTTGGCTTCACACCGCGATGGCTTCATTATCTGAGGATCCCTACCTTCTACTCCCGCGTCCCGAAGACTAGAACCCAGATAGCCAACCACACAGTTCACTTAAGCAGCAGACCAGGGACCCGTCGCTTCCTACTGATGAGCTCGTCGTCAGTGCACGCGGTCCCACGTAATGACATTGGCCCCAGTGATTGTTCTCCTCCTCATATTCCCCGGTGACGTTCGGCCGGGTCACCACCAACTCGTCAAGATCTTCGACATCTCGGCCACCCCCCTGAGGATTTTAGCCTATTGATCCGGGACCACGGGTGGCCGGAATCCCCGGTCTCTCGTCTCGAAAATGAATAAATAGGTCGATCCGGAGCACCCTGCCTCCTTCGTCGCAGTCTTCTCTCATGGAAAACAAAAATCCATGCGAATCGAGACACGCATGTCATCTGAACACGACGATCCCCACAGGGGGTATCCTTATCGCGACCCGCCAGTTGCAAAGACAGCAAAAAAAAAAAAAAGAAAAAAAAAAAAAAAGGACAAACTTTGGACGCAAGAATTACGGTACACTCCAACCTCCCCCCAAAACGGCCTAGTAGTGGCTTTCCCTGCCTGCAGCCCCCGCGATTCACCTTGCCAGTGGGAGGGGAAGGGGACGGTCGGAATTACCCTTCGGCCTATGAGCTCATCATAGTCGCGGGCTGCCCCCACCCCCCCTTCGCCAAGCTTATCTGCCCTCCCTTGCACAGGTCCCCTGGAAGGGATGAGATGACAACCAACCGCGGAAATTCTATCTTGCCAAGTGTCCCTGCGCTTGCGAGAGAGCTTTCCGAAAAAACACAACACTACCCTAGTAAACCGCACCTCGGATTCCCGCAGCCTATTGACGATCCCAAAAAGCTCCATATATATATATATCGAAGTACGCGGAGGAATAAAAAAAAGGGACAACAAAGAATGGCTCGTTCTTGGAAGCCCGTCTTCTGGGCCCTTTTCCTGCTGGTACAGCTGGGCATCGCGTCGTCCGTGGCCGAGAAGCTTGGCTTCTCAGGCAAGACTGTCGCCGACCTCAGTCTCGAGGAGCTCGACGAGCAGCTGCAGGTGAGAGATGGCTTGCCAATGGGCGCCGCATTCACATTGCCTCGCGTGCAGAAGCAGGAGAATAGGATTGATACGCAGGCATGGAATGCTAACTACCCGTCATCACGCAGCAATGCTCTGTGGTCCAGAGCCTCACGGCCGATAAGCTGTCCAAGCTGAACGACACCCCCTCTCTTCTCTCCCGCGCCTTCGGCGTCCTCTTCCCCGGCTCGCCCGCCGTCAACGCCATTCTCGCCACCCTCTACATCTCCGGCCCGCCCAACTTCCTCTTGGCCCTGTGTCCGCCCAACATCGACCCCTCCTCGCTCTCCGTCATGGTCGCCTTCGCCGTTGGCGGGCTCATGGGCGACACCCTCTTCCACCTGCTGCCCGAGATTTTCCTCGGCGAGGATGAGCCCGAGCGCGCGCGCCTGGTCCTCGTCGAGCCGAACCGCAACCTGCTCCTCGGCGTCGCCATCCTCGTCGGCTTCATGACGTTCGTGGCCATGGACAAGGGCCTGCGGATTGCCACCGGCGGGGCGGGTCACTCCCACGACCATGGCGGGCACTCGCACGCCGAGGCAAAGGCCGAGGGTGCGTCGTCGGCTGTGGAGAAGACGGGCGAGCTTAAGTCACGGAAGAAGAAGGCCAACGGCGCCGGCCCCACCGGCGTCGCGGCGGACAAGACGGACAAGGAGATGAACCCCAGCGTCAAGCTCGCAGGTTACCTCAACTTGATGTACGGCCTTCCTCTCTCAACTCCTTGCCGCGGGCGGCGACTATGTCACCGATTATGGGGCCTCGGGCAACAGCCTACCCATTTCTTGAGTATTCGACTAACCTCGACCTTTTAGCGCCGACTTCACGCACAACATCACCGACGGTCTGGCCATGTCAGCTAGCTTCTACGCCTCCCCAACCATCGGCGCCACCACAACGGTTGCAGTCTTCTTCCACGAGATCCCTCACGAGGTCGGCGACTTCGCTCTGCTGGTGCAATCCGGCTTCAGCAAGAAGGCGGCCATGGGCGCACAGTTCGTGACCGCGCTCGGCGCACTCCTGGGGACCCTCATTG